GAGAAAACACACAGGTTATATCATTATAAAGCACACGTTATACCATAACCTATGGAGGTTAATCAGCTGTTCAAGACATATTTAGTTGTAAATTTAAATGCCAAAACTGTTTTTTAAAACAAATTATTTTATTTAAATTTCTCTCTCTCTTTCTCTCTCTCTCTCTCTCTCTCTCTCTCTCTCTTTCAATTGGAACAGAGAGGGACAGAGTGAGAGAGAGGGGGAGGAAAGTGAGGTGCCAGGTCTGGGACTCGAACTGCGGTTGGCCATGTGGGTGTCCAGTGCCCTTAAGCACCATGCTACCTGTCAGCCCCAAATGCCAAAAACTCTTAAATGAAAAACACTTCAGTTGGTCAAATAACATTTAACCCTTTGTGATCTGAACATACTTAGCAAAACAGGCTTCTCTCCTTGGTTTTAAGCTCTCGAACTACTTTATCACTTGGATGTTGTTTTTTTGGCATTCCAATATCGAAGGGGTTTGGGGATGTGAATTCAGGCTGTGTGGACACTCTGTAGGACACAGCTGGAAAACCACTGTACAAGCACAAATACTTATTAAGTGACTTCATACACACGTCAAGTGTAATTCTGCCCCCGAAATACTAGAGGACAGGAAGTTGAGTGAGGATTCTTAAATTCTGGACCAGTAGTGGCACAGCAGTAACACAATGCTCTGTGATGCTAGATAGATGTGAAGGTCCAATGTTTGAGTCTGAAAGCCTCTCTGTGGATGGAGGGCGTGTGTGTGGGGATGGCACGGGCTGGCTGAAGCTGGGGGACTCCAGCATGAGGACCGTGTTGGCAGTGCCTATCTCTCATGGAAGTAAATAAACTAAAAATCAACCAAACAAAAACAAAAACAACAAACAAAATTCTCTTACTCTGAAGACTACGTTCCCAGCTATAATAGTTTTTCTTATGGGCCCTGAAACTGCAGATAGGCTACCAAGGAGTGTTTCTCACAATAAACTCTGTAGATGATGGGCATCTTAATCCTCCTGGGGCAGTTGTTCAGCATGTGGATTACTGGACCCAACCCCTGCCTATCAAATAGGAGCCTCTGGGTGCTAATCAGAAAACTTTTTCTTTTCTTTTTTTTCTTAATTAAGAATGTATTTCCTTTAAAAATTTTTTTGAATTATTTAATTAATTTATTCTTCTTCAATTTGACCAAAGAGAGAGAGAGGGAGAGTGAGAAAGCAAGCCGCCAGGTCTGGGACTCGAGCTGTAACCAGTCATGTGAGAGTCCAACGTCTTGACCACCATGCCACCTGCTGGCCCCAGAAAACTTTATCTTAAATCAGCCACCCATGTGAGTTTGCAACCCAGTGCCATAAATGCTTCCAAGAATGGGGAAAATCAGGGAGTGAAAGTCACTTCAGAGCCTTTCCTGAAGTGCCAACCCAGCTCATGTCATTGGGGGGCAGAGGATTTACTGCTTTCTTTTTAAAAATTTTTTTTTAAATAATTGTTTATTTTATTTTTACTTATTCATTCATTTATTTTTTAATTTGACCAGAGAGACACAGAGGGTGAGAGTGAAAGAGAGAGGAAGTGAGAAAGCAAGCCGCCAGATTCAGGACTCGAGTCCTGGTCGGCCATGTGGGAGTGTCCAGCGCCTTAACCACCACGCCACCTGCTGGTCCCAGGATTTACTGCTTTCTGAGGGAGACTGCACTGCAGCTGTGACAGTGCTTTCACCTCCAGCTGCTGGCTCAAGGCATGGAAGCAGTTCCTAACCCACCCTATACACTTGGGAAGAACAGGTAGAGCAGCCCTAGCACAGTCTGCACTTGCTACCCTGAAAACGGCCTTACGAAGTGAAAATCTGAACTTGAATACCACTACACTGGAAGTTAGTTTTTACATTACCAAACAATTCTTTGTTTTTTAATACTAGTCTAAGCAGGGGGGTCGGCAGGTGGCATGGTGGTTTAGGGCGCTGGACTCCCACATGGCTGATTGCAGTTTGAGTCCCGGAACTGGTGGCTTGCTTTCTCATTTTCTCTCTCTTTCACTCTGCTCCTCTCTGGTAAAATGAAAATAAATAAACAAACAAATAGAGTTAAATAAATAATAACTCTTTAAAAATAGTCTAAGCAGAGGTCAGGTGGCATGGAGGGTAAGGTAGCTGGATTCCACATGGCCAACTGTTTGGTTTGAGTCCCAGTGGCTTGAAAATCATGCCAGGCATGTGTACGTGTGTCCCCAAAATCCTGAGAGGAGAATAGAGGAGAAGGGATTTCAGTGTGGCCATATCCTTTGAGCGGAGGTGGAGGGAGGGGGAGAGTGATGTCTTTCTCTCTCTCTCTATCGCTAGCAAGCGCATGTGCTCTATAGAAAAACTTTTTAATACGTCAAAGCAGATATCATTTAAAAAAAAAGAAGAAAACTTCCTCTTGTACATTTTAAAATATGTCCCAGTATGTGAAATCAATTTACAAATGGTTTTCAAAGACACACACATAATGAATGAAGCAAAATATAAGGGGTCTTCATAAAGTTCACAGAAAATGTGTATTATGAAAAAAAAATGCATGAATTTCAAAGTTTTTGGCACCAAGGAACCAGCAGATGATGTAATGGTTATGTTGCTGGACTCCCACATGTAGTCAACCGTGGTTTGAATCCCAGATCCAGTGGTTTAAAACTCACGCCGGGCGTGTGTGTGTGCGTGCCCAAGATCCTGAGAGGAGAATGGAAGAGAAGGGATTGTGGTGTGGCCATCCCCCCGGGAGGTGATTTCTCGTTTTCTGTCTCTCCATCGAGCGCACACGGCTTATAGCAAAAATCTCTCAAAAAAAAAAAAAAGGGCAAAAGGGACTCTTCAGGCTCTGCCAGGCGTTTACAAACAGGCGTCCTGAGACCTGGGAAAGGCCATTAGGACTGCGAGAGTCACGTTTCAGCCTTTTATACTCTCCGTTCAACAGGGTATTTAAAAAAATAGCATTGGAGTGTTATTACCCCTTTCCATATAAAGACAGATGGAATTGGTACTCCTGCTGCTTGCCTGGCTTGACCTCTCGAATGCAATCTACCATCAGGGCCATGAGATAACAAGTCTTGGGGACATTCTGTTTGGAGTTTCCCTCAGTTAAGCCGGGAGAAAATCCCCAAGCATTATCTCCCCACACAGTGTCATGGCTCTCTGCGTAGTTACCTTGATGTCAGCACTGAAGTTGTTGATTTTTTGCCAGCCCGAGTTTTCCAAATGAAAGTTTGCCCATCTGAGCAGAAGCTCCTCCGGAGACAATTTCATGAGCTCCTCCAAAGTCTCACCATCCCGAAGCAGAGCAGCCAAGGCTAGAGGAAAACAAAACCCCACAACCAATACAGGCTATGAAAATGGTCAGACCAAATGCATTCAGTAACAGAGGTACAACAGTTGTCATGACATAGTTCCCGGTTTTGTGCTACTCATAATCTAATCAAAAGATAAGCAGATGGAACCAGCAGATGGCACTGTGGTTACGTCGCTGGATTCCCACACGGCCAGAAGCAGTTTGAGTCACAGACACAGGGGCTTGAAACTCATGCCAGGGGTGTGTGAGTGCATGCCCAAAATCCTGAGAGGAGAATAGAGAGCGGATGGCAGTGTGGTCATGTCCCCTGGGGACTGATTTTCCATTTTATGTCTCTCTGTCTCTCTCTGGCAAGTACACTCGCCGTACAAACAAACAAACAAAGGAGCAGCCCCATAGTACAACATTTAAATGCAGTACATCAGGAGCCAGATCCTACATGGCTGAGTGTAGTTCAAATCCTGGTTCCGGCAACTTGAAAAACAGACTGGGAGCGTGTGTATGCATGCCCAAATGCTGACGGGATGAAGAAATGAAGGAAAGATTGTGGTGTGAACCCACTGGGAAGTTCTCTCTTTGTCTCTCATGAATGCACGCCTTCAGGTAATTAACCAAAAAAAAGAAAAAAAAAAGATGGTGCTCAGTGGGGGAGTTGAGGGTTCTGATGGGGTGGTGGCTGTTTGGACAGAGCAGAAAAAAATACGCACCATGCTGGGGGACCTTGGGAAAGTTCCTTAACCTCTCTGTGCTTTAAATCTTTATTGTAAAATGAATTGTAAAGTCCCAGACAAATGTTAATTACTACCAGAGAAGACAGTTATATAATCAAGCTGTTTTCCCGAATTACTCCATAACTTTACCTTCTGTTAATTCTAGTTATCATCTAAATCACCTCAATTAACTGAAAGTGTGACAGCCTGCATGACCAGAAAAAAAAAATCAACCATCAACTTTCAAAATAATGACTGCA